CCCCTTGAAGAGATCTTCTGAAGAACCACTCTGGTTGGGAACTAGTATGTTGGTGAGTGTAGTTCAAGAAAAATCTACAGATGAGTCTCCATTATATTAATTATATTTATGGGGGATTGGTCTGTGCATTTGGGTGTTTAGATTTGTCCAACCTCAGCAAAATTAAAAAACAAGTGGAAAAAAAAGTGCTTTAAGAAAGGTCCAGCAGATGATTCATCTCATGTTGTCCACTGATCATAAATGGACCCTTGATAATTCACTTTCTCTGGGAAGCAGAGCATCCCCCTCCCGTGTTTGTAAGACACACGCAGCCCTATGCAGAGACTGCACTGCACAGCTGCAGCGTCCTCATGTGCATGTGGCAGTGGATCTGAGCCAAATACCCGTGTCTCTTACTGAAATCATTCGTGCACTTCTGGAAAAATTCTTAGTTTTCGTAAGAACTGTTGTTAATATAACGCAAACAGCTTAAAGACTGTCAACAGTGTGAACTAATGCTTCATGCAGCTGTACTTTTTATGCTAATTACTGGTTTTAACTGGGCATGTTAATTAGATTAAGAGAGAAAATTGCTGACTTGAGATCATTAATTGGAAGGTTTAGAATAGACGTGCTGTTGTGAAATACTTAAGTGAAAGGAGCAGTCATGGAATATGCTTGAAAGTACCAAGATGTGAAATGATACTGTGTGTGAAATGTGAAGTGTTTTGCAAAGGAGTACAGTAAGATTAATGATTTAACCAAAGTTATTTGTGCTCATATATAGGTCTGGAACTATTTTATTTCCTTGAAGTCATGTAAATAAAGGAGAAATGGCAAGGACATATAAAGTAACGTGCCCATCAGATGATGCAGGGTGACCGATTTTGTTTTGCCAGGGAGTAGCATTCTTGATTGGCTGGTTACTTTCCAGTTTTACCAAAATGCATTTGTGACAATAGCACTGCCAGCTGAGCAGAATTAAAAGGTATGAGTTAAAATTATTGCTACAAACATTCATAATTATAAGCTTTAGAAGATATTTTGAATTGGAATGGCATTCGTTGGTTTGGTTTATGGAAAAGTGTAGCAGTAGTTTCAAGACCCAAGCAAGTTTGTGTGCAGTAGGTCTTTGCGTAAAGAAGTCCATTGAAATAGCTAAGCATGGTCTCCCAGGGGATTCCAGCACAACACCGGTGTCACCGGATAGTGAGAAGGAGGAATCCTTTCAAACAAATCCCGCACTGCAAATGCAGGGCTTTGGGCAGCAGTGTTTGGTTCCGGCAGACCTCGTTCGGAGTCATCTTGGGGCCACAAGCAGCTTTGGGGAGGGTATTTTGGGCAGCATGCTGCTGTGAAGCCAGAAATTGCTTTCAAGGACAACTTCAGCGAGGATTTCTTCCCCATTAAGTTATGGTGTAGTCCCAGGTATTCTTAGCGTAAAGAAAGGTAAGAAAATTCAGAGGTGCAGCTCCCCCACGCACAAGGCTGTGTGTACTCCAGCAGGCTGGAAGGTCCTGTGGAGCCGTGCCCTTGTCCCTGCACTGTCAGGGGCTGTGGGACAGAAAGCTGCAGGGGCAGAATGAGTATCACAGACCCATATGGCAAACGCAGTTGTGTGCAGGAATGTGTTTTGCTACTGCTTAAGCCCTGGCAATATGAGAAAACCAGAAGGATTCTGAAAGGCCAAACCCCGAGCTGCTCGTGTATGTGGGGCAGACTTCTGACTTTTCTTGTGTTTAAAGAGGTGGTGTTTCAATGGAAACCTTCTCATTCTCCCTTCTTCTGTCATGTTCTTAAGAGAGTTACTTCCAGCTACGTAGAGGGTAATTTTATTTGCAATAGCACATTTTGTGGGGTGCTGCTTGTGTATAAACAGGAGATAGTGTGGGTGTGCCACAAAGAAAATTCTTTACAATTTTAGACGAGTGGGTTAGTGCAATTTCCTAGTCTATAGGAAAAGAAGACTCCTGTTCTTTGAGTATCTCTTTGCTTGCTGCCTGGTGTCATGTGATGGCCTTTGCAGTCGGATGTTCTTGGGAAAGCAGAAGAGTTTTCTTTGTCTCTCCGGTTTAGTCAGCACATATTAATTACTTTTGCATGGCTGGGATTTGAAAGAAAAAAAAAGTTCAATTACTTTTCTACACTGACTTTTGTGCTGGGAATTTATACATTTTCATGATTCTGAAAATGTATGCTTGGTCTACAGAAACAAGTCTGCACCATGTCTGCTTGTTCCTTAATGCGTCTGAACTTGTTTGCTAAGCTAAACTGTTTCAGTTCCTACGACTTTGATAATAAGATAAGTCTGTTTTTCTAACTTACATCTCTAATAATTTCACCTTTGTGTGAGAGTATTTAGCTCTGGTTATTAAAGATAATGATTTATATGTTTGTTCCCTATTGTCACAATTTTTTTATTGTTGTGGGATTTTTCAATTTTTATTAATCAGCTCTATAAGTGAAATAAAAGGCACAGAAATAATTATTAAATATCATAAAAATATTGGTCAATTAATAGTAATTGAAATACTCTACATTTTAATTGACTGCAAAATGTTTTCGGTTAAATATTGTCCTAATATGGACACCCTAATATGGCTGGCTCATAAATAAGTTTTCAGTGCTGACAGTTAAGAAAAGGTGACCCTTGAGCAATATCCTCTGTCTTGGAGTAAACTTTCAATAGGTCATAGCAACAGCATATCATAAATACAGCAAAGCTGATTTAAAAAAATTCTATGATATATAATTTTTAAAAAAGTATATATAAAAGCTAATTGCAGAAAGACACACAGCGGCATATTATGAATATGGGAGGTGGGAGATATACAGAAAAAAATTACAATATAGTAAAGCAGCAAGAAACTAGTTTTTAAAATAAATTTGTTTAAAAGAAATGTTCTAAAGTACCATTATACTAAATATATTTTTTAAAATCCAGTTTTATTCAGTTCAACTTACTGAATCAGTTTACAAATTTGTTCACGTAGATGCATGTGTCTGTGTATAAGCTTCCAGCCTGCCTTTGAGCTAAAGCTTTTGATTTTACTTCCTCAAAATGCCAAGTAATAAAGGAGACCTTCCCAGCTCCCCCTTTTTTGGGGGTGGGAAAGCAGCTGTGTAAATGCTGTCAATCCCCAAGAAAATTCAGGCTGGATGAATTTTGAGCTCCAACTACTTTTCTCGTATATATTATCTGTTACATAACTATTTTGTTTGCCCAAAAGACGGGATGTTGTGGTCTGTGCACAGGCGTTCCATCGGGTCCCAGAAAAGAGCCGAGGGACGTGTTGCCTCGTTGAGTCAGTGTCATGCTCAGCTGCTAAATGTCATTTAATAATGATCAAAGCCTTCAGCTGGGCATCAGCTTCCTCAGACACGAATGTCAAACGCTTGCACAATTCAACCACAGCTCTTTCAACAGAAGCAAACTTCATTTGTTGGAGGGTGTTGCTTTCCTCTTTATGCTGTGGCCGTTTAACTATGTGTGGGCACATTCACCTATGCTTAAAACTGGCTTAGGGATCCGTCAGTTGCCTCACGCTTTCTTGCCAGAGCATTTTTTGTGGTGGTCAGTTTTGCTCACAAAGGGGAGAAACAAGGCATGAGGGAAAAAGAGGGAGGAAGTGTATCATTTAGCTTTTTATCTTCGTATTTTTTTTGGAAAAGCTTGTTACAGATGATTTCTCAAGGAAGCCAAGGAAAACAATGTGACAGGGGTTTTCTTCCGTTGTTCAAATGCAGGTGATTTTTGTAATAGCTTTTTATGTGTTTTTTACTTTATGCAGAAGGGTGCACCCAGGACAACTCTAAAGCACAGAGTGAGATTCACCTAGCTTATGGGAAATGGGCATTCCCAGACAATCACCATCCCTGGCACTGCAGAACAGGCTGTGGGTAACGTGCCTGAAGAGGAGGAGATCAGCAACCACCCATGGCAGGGATTTGCAGCTTAGGCAAAGCAGTTCAGTTGCTTTTCCTGCATGCCACTGTCTCCTCAAAAGCTAAAAATCGTGTGAATTCAAAAATTCAATTTAAAAAAACACCAGCTTTAGCTGGCGAGTAGAATTTAGGACTGAAAATATTCCTAGTAGTTTGCTTGGGTTTGTTTTTTGGGGGAGAGGGCATTATGTTTTGCAATGAAATTGCCCTATTTGGGGGTTCCCATCACTTCACTCTCCTGGTCAGCTGCTGGTTTCCTCTCCATGAAAGCCAGAGCCCTTCGTGTCCCTCTACATGGACAGCCCCTTCCTGGATATCCAGCTGAGGCCTCTAGCGGGGATTTGACAAGTGGCAGTCACTGCACGTCACAGCCAGGTCCTGCACAGCGCCTTTCCGCAGGTGCCAGCCAAGGAGAAATCATCTGTACCTGGATGTCACGAGACAGCCTGTACACCCACGTGGGGCCTTAGCAACTGCCTCTGGGCCGCTGAACAGACTCGCCTTTCACGGGAATGAGGTGTTACAGAAATGTTTAACGTTTGCTTTTTTACAGGGTGACGCTTTCTTTTCAAATCTATTTAGGCAGCTAAGCCCTTGGCGCCCAGGTGCCCTTCCCATGTCCCGTGGGCCACACATTGCATCTGGACACTCCTGCAGTTCTGGTGTCCCGGAGGGCAGCCTCGTGCGCTGGGACTTGGCGTGAGCCCTCCCGTGCGCCCTGTGCACGTTGCTCGCTCTCCGCCCAGCTTCCACCAGGGATGGGAAACACTCGCCCTGCTCAAAGGGAGTTTGGAGTTTTTGCTTGTGTGCTGAGCTTCCCAGTCCAAGGAGCCCAGGAGTTTGGATCTGTGCTTGGATGCTTTCATGCTGCTTCCTTGCTGTGTGAAACCAGTGAAATGCAGCTGTCCTGGTTACAAACTCCGTCAGCCACAGAAAATGTCTCATCTTCTGACAAAGTCTTAGCAATGTTGTGGTACATTTAAATGCTGTCAGGTGAGGAGAAAAAAAAAAAGGCATTTTTAGAGATTTCTGTCAAGTTTGACATTAATCTGTTGTATTGGTTGTCATGTTAGCCTTTTGCTTTATGTGGAATAATTTCCACAGAATTTGCATGGTGGCCTTTTAGACAGAGGAAAGGTAGTACAGGAAATAAGCAAGTGTCCATTGAGGTTTTGGGAGACTTGTATTTGGTGCTACGTCATGGTGACAAACTATGCTGTTCAGAACAAGATAACATGGTGTGAGAAGTGGCATAGCAAATATGGGGTGTAAATTGGGAGCTTGCTTAAAATTACCTGTTCAAGGAAACAAGTCACCTAATGCCTCTGCTGTGCTGCTCCTGCCTTCCCCTGCTGCCCTTCTGGTGACCCTTAGTTATGTGGTAGGAGTGAACAGCCACCGTTTGGAAAGAACAGCTTCTTTGAAACTTGAATCCAAGTTTCTGGCACACGATTCACTGTTTGGAATCAAAAAATACAGCAACCTCTGCTTAAAAATGGGATTAGACACAGAATCTCTGTAAGGACATGGTTAGGATTACATACAGCAAGATGAATTTAGTTTAACCTGAAGGCAGCAAGAA